GCCAGTAACTTTCCATTTGTCGGGTCACTGAAGTCGACACCTACAACTGATATACCACATAGCTGCACAATTAACTTCCGAACTTCGAGGGCCAGTATTTCACAGGGTTAGCTACATCGTTGCACAATTAACTTCCCGAACTTCGAGGGCCAGTATTTCACAGGGTTAGCTACTTTGATTCCTTGCGATCTTGCTAGGCACGAAAAAGTGCAAAAACGCATAATCGCACCGGCCCGCCTGGTGCGTTCCAGCCTGGGTTCACTAGGATGCACCCATAGACAAAACACAACTATTCCGAGCCATTCTGTTCTTTACGTGTATCATAAATAATATTTCTTCTATTCTGTAAATTTATAATTTTGGCAGCTCCAACTGCCGATCTGGCTAGAACTACCAGGATCTTTCCACTTACCAGTGTGAAAATTCATTCTGGCGATGTTACTGAGATGCGCCTCACGCAACAGATGCAGCTACGGGAAGCTTCTGGGATCGAGTTGTATATCTCCAGTCGTATGCAGATCCAGGACGGACTCTTGGAGGAGGTGGAGGAGGGAGCCATGGGGTGGGGGAAGGTGGGCTCCCGGGGGGCGGGGAAGGAGGAGTGAGAGGGTAGGGAGGAGAGCCTCCTCCCGTCCTGAAATTATACAAAAACTAAGAATAGAGTTGTAACTCTGCTACTTTGAATTACTTTAGCTCAGAGTTTCTTTAGGATTTAGTTTACTTTAGTTTTAGTTTTAGACCCGGGCTTTTGCAGTATTGGTGCCTGTGCCGTCCTCATCCCTTGTGGTCTGCTTCCCACCTGGACCTGCCTACGTCTCCAGTTGTACACCTATGTCGATTTTTGTCCATTATAAAGAGCAGAATAGTTGCGTCTGAAATCCCACTAGCATCATGATTTGGCTTACCCACATAGATTGTCCGCCGGTCTTGGTACTCTTGGTGTTAGAAGCAGAGCGAAATTAAAATGCAAAGGAATCTCTATTTTTAGGATCGGGCGAAATCGAATTTGAAGAATTTGCTGCCATGGTGGCGAGTTTCGTTGTTGAGGACGATAATGCTGGTATGGAAGAGGAACTGCGAGAGGCATTT